GGGGGGGGGGGGGGGGGAAGCTGCTATCCCGACCCCTTTTCCCCTCACCCGACGGCGATTTGTGTAGGTAAGACGGTAGGTAAGCCGTCCAGGTTGCGAAAGTGCCCTACTCGTACTGATCAAGAAAACTGAGGTAGGAGCTCGGCAAAAATCTCTCACAAGAAAATTATGTGCACTGTGTGCAACACCCTACAGAGCGTCTCTCCGGTCCAGCAAGAAACAGAACTTACAGAGCAATGTAGTTGTTGAAGAGTGCATAAAATAAGTGTCCAAGCGGATGAGCTGCGTCAAATAGTAAAAAGCCCAAGATAAACAAGCAAGTACCAAGAAATCCCCACATCGAATAACCCACAGAAAGCTTGACTAACATCTGAATATCATACATAGAACCTTCTTTGACAAAACTCAGCAGATATTAGAGACCACATGAGAAAACTGTTGCAGATGTTGGACCTCACCACCAACAAGGTGACTCAGAATGGTTGGGCTGGAACACCGCGAGAGCAGTCATCCAGGGAGGACACCTGCGATAGAATGTGAATAGAATCTACATACTTACAATTAGCTTAGGCCTATGTACAGTCCGGTTATCTGCGGACGCTGGGGCGTGTGAGGAGAGCCGCTATTGGATCCCTGTTGGGAGAAAAGGGAGCGGGAGGAGGACCTAACCGGCTCTCCTGATACTCACCGACCGAGTGCGACGACAATAAGTACACTCGAGCGTTGATATTGCCTTACCCAACTAAAAGACATGAATAAGAGGAATCGTTTCCAAACCTTAGTCACTCGGACGTTCTCTTCGAGTTGATATTTGAGACAGAGTGTGTAGGTGATTGTTGACACACCGGTTATGTTCGTGAGATCACGCAGTAAGGTAACGTCGCTACGATGAACCATAGCTATTGCCACAGAGGATAATGCCATAATGATTGCAGACAGAATACTCAGGCCAAGCACAAAGAATATCGATATGGATGCTGGATTTCAATGTTGATCAAATGTATCTCATTTAAAAACAGAGTGAAAAAAGTAAAACTACACTCTTCCACATAATGATAGTTCCACCCATAAATATTACAAAATCCCGTCTTACATGAGGTTTTCAAAAATGTCCCCAAATAGAAAATGAGGTAATAATCAATACCAGTTTGCATGCCAACACCGGAAACTAACTTGAAAGAACAAGTTTTTTTTTGTTCATTTTTTTGAAAATTGGTACTCTGACAATTCCACAAAATGATAGTTCCACCTCATGTTTTGTCGCTGCGTCTCATTTTTGTTGGGTAAAACTGTCTCATCATTGTGACTCTTTGCCTTTTCTAGGCTATAGCAAGAGGACATCATTATCGGACCCTGAAAAAGGACAGATAATCGCAAAGAAGACTCAAGGACTGTCAAACCGTCAAATCGCATGGGATTTGGGCCGCAGCCGTCATGTGATCAAGAATTTTCAAGCAACCTGCAGGGCCTGCAGGGTATGGAATTAAGAAGAGCTCTGGGCGTCATCCTCCGCTCTCTGATCGGGATAAGCGCCGTATTTTGAGAGAAGCATCAAATTCTCCAATGTCGTGCCGGGAAATAAAGTCAACTTTGAAGCTTAACGTCTCAGAGGAAACTGTTCGGCGTGTCTTGAAGAAGTCTGAGTTCATTCTCAGGAGGAAAATGAGGAAGGCACCGTTTCTGACAGAAATGCATCGTGAAAAGCGAATCGACTTTGCTAGGAGATGTTGCCAAACCGATTGAAGCAAGGCTGGCAAGCAAGTTGGCTTACGGCAGCGGTGGCCTACTGCTTGTCTGCCTTGCCTTTTTTTTCTTCAGGTCGTGTTTGCTGATGAGAAAAATTTTAACTGCGACGGTCCAGACCGAAATCAGTCCTACCGGCACGATCTTAGGGCAAGATAAGCTCCATTTTTCCAGGCGGAAGAGGAGGTGGTATTATGGTATGGGCTGCCATCTCCAACGGGACATCTAAGAATTGTTTTTCGTTTCGAAGAAAATGAAGTCTCCCGATTGTCTGGTACCAATTCATACCAGTCGAAGCACTCGAGAGTGGTTGAGTCGTCATCAAATCGCTGTTTAGCCCTGGCCAGCACATAGCCCTCTTCAACCCAGTCGAGAATGTGTGCGGCTTCATGGTGCGCAAGATCTATGCGAGCAATGAGCGATTCCACGATGTCTGCGAACTTAAGGAGTCAGTCATTCGGACAACCACGTTTTCTGATTTATTCGAAGAAATGGAGCTTCAATAGATTACTAAATTAACAATTCATTCGTTTTGTTGTACACTTGTTATTGGATGATAGATTTGTTTGGTGGAACTATCATTTTGTGGAATTGTCAGAGTACCAATTTTCAAAAAATGAAAAAAAACTTGTTTTTTTTCAAGTCAGTTTCCGGTGCTGACATGCAAAGTGGTATTTTTACCCCATTTTTCTAATATGGGGACATTTGGAACGCCAATCGCTAAGAAATATTTTGTACTATTTCAAGGGGGGAACTCATCATTATGTGGATAAAACATGTAACAGGTCTTGTTCGTTGCGTGGTTGGGGGTTGGGCGGGGCGTATCAGGGGCTTCCCGTTTCTTTGCTTTCTTTTTCTCTCGTATAGCGGCAAGGTGTATATGATCCTTGTCAGTCGTTTTCTACCAGCTGTTGCCGCTTACCTGCTTCAACAACAGGTAGAGAACGGGATGGTAGGGCGCCAAATCCAAGCTCACTGGCAAGCCCCATAATCCGCAGCAAATCCACAGGACACTGTAAGAATTTCTAAGAACAACTGTTCATCTTCTTTATTAAACTAGCCTTGAATTGCTTTGATAAAACCATTGTGAAGGGCGACTATTCTAAAACTTTGATCAGCGTCATTATTCATTTCAGGGAGCCTTCGTCCCTTCTCGGTTGGTCGTGAAAAGAGTCGGACCCCCATGCCCAACTCCTGTTCTAAGGCCGCTGGCCCCTCCTTATGCCGACGAAACCTTCAACCCGAAGGAAGTCTCTCGAATAGCGTTGATGCTCAGCGCTTGCTGTTAGCTTTCATCGTCTCCTATGTTCACTCATGACGGTATTCATTAAGGCTATTGTTCGCCAACACGAAACAAGTTCTAATCACTACTAGTAAGCGAAAAAACACATAAACGTGATTATCGGCGAAATTTTCTGTGATGCGGCCGAACTGCATTCTGTGATGCTTGTACAGAACACACTGTGAAGAGCGGCAATTCGTGTAAAGTGAAGGATTCACTTGCATCACTTTTCACTTTTTCTTAAGACTTCACACTTCTCACCAAGCGTGAGCTCCTGTTTACATGGGGATAGGATCGGCAAGGACTGGCGGGTAGTGGCCTCCCGGTTCCCCCTCCCCCCTTCCGATGATGAACAGCGCTTATCTCACTTACAGAGGCTAACCCTTTTCAGAGTCGAAACAAGCTTCTATCATGGATATAATAGTACCACTACAACTGCTTGCTACCATCGATTGGTGGTTGTCAATTTCACCAGATTACTCCCTTCTCTTAACTGTCTATTCCCTGTCAAGAATAGAGATGGAAAGTTTTCAAGTGCTTCTTCAGCTATTTTCTTCGACGGTCATCCAACTGCCTATCACCATACATCTTACTCTCCTTTCAGTACGACTGTCGGGGGATCAGCCAGTGGGAGTGCGCACACTGTTTAAAGCTGTTATCAGCATTTTCGTTGAAAGGCGTATGCGACAAAAAGTGGTAGAAAACGAGTAATACGAAGGATATAATGCTGTCATGTCATTTGCTCGCTTCAACAACTGGTGCAGAAAGACTTTGGCACCGCGGAAAACGCAGCCGCACTGACCCGCCCCGACAGTCCGTAATGAAGAGGAGTGTATACTCTATATATAAAGCAGAAGTTGTCTGTGTGTTTGTCGGACGGACCAATAGGAGAAGAGGCTCCGCCCACAATGGGCGGGGCCTATATTTAGCTGAGCGGTGTCACGGACGTAATCTTTTGAAAACGTTGTCAACAAAACTCTTAAACGCCGTCAACTTTGGGATGGGGGCTGAGGGCATGTTGAAAATATACCGAATACACACAAACTAAGTTAAGCCTCGCACACAATGGACGGGGCGTGCACCGAAGTGCCAACGACAAAAATTCGTAAAATTCCTCCGGAAGATCACAGGGACCGGGGACACGATCATTCTCTATGCACCACGTGAGACAGTGAGCGGGGCGTTTGTTCGGACGGGCGGGGCCGAATTGAAATCTTCAAAATTCGGACCAGGAACTGCCCGGGCAGCGGGAAAACGGGCTTGAGTAAAGAGTAAGCAGGTAGATAAACAGAAGGAGGCACACCCGAACTGGGCGTTGGGAAGAGCACGGCAGCCTGCAGTCGAACCGCGTTTGTCTGGGTAGGCAGGGACCAAGTAAAAATTTCGAGTCGGACCCGGAACCACCGGAGCAGCGGCAAACCGTGGAATAAGAAGTGGGTCGAGGTTGAATTGAAGGAGGCATACTTGAAATGGACTCACGAAAAAAATCGAGTACCGACATTCCACCCCTCGCCTTTACGAAAATTTCACAACCATCCACTAGGGGGGGGTATACCAAAGGTGAAACGGCAATAGTCTGGAATTGCAGAAAAAAAAATTTTATGTGCCGGAGGGTCACACGCATAAGGAGGATCGCCCGCCGAAGGCGGGCGATCCGACTGGTCACCTACAGTTGTACACTTGGAGGCCATAACCCACTGTGAACCCTGAGGCCCCTCCAGTGGAGCCTGTGTTCAACAAAGTTTCACTTTCCACACAATCCTGACCCGTCCGGGGACCACGCAACCTTAACATGCTCACTTTCACACTATCCTACAGTGCAAATCCTTAAGGGATAGCCCTTCTATTGAAATATGTTCCTAAGGCGACAATTGTAACCGTGCATTTGTTGAGTACAAAACAAAATAGTAAGCCATCGGTGGTAGCGAATAGAAATATCCTACGGTGAATACCAAGGTTTAGATGGAGCACGCAACCATGCCCACAACATCTTCGATACAGAGTGTACCTGAGGCGGGAAATGGCTGAAATAGTCGGCTTCCCACCTGCGCGATCAGGGTTTGATTCCCGGATTGGCTCTCGCAGTTCAACCAGGTCTTCCTCCACCGCAGCCGGTAAATCGTTACGATGTTCGTTTGGAAGAAATCGCATATAGACCGGTCGCGGAAATCACTCATTGTGTGCCACACGGCATTCAATGAGCCACTGCGATTCTGAATGGATGTAGCATGCGTATCGCACCTAAAAAGAGGACTGACCTAAAAGTTTCACCCTATTTCTTCACCTTTCACGGTGGAACTTTAGGAGCTGTCGGATCGTTCAAATTCCGTTGTCAAAAGGCGTCTGCAAGACTCACCCAGCATTGTTAGCGAGTGGTAGGACAACAGACAGTACTATCAGAGCCACAAATTTATTAGGAACAGAGATCCAGGCGTCGGCCGCGTAACTTCTCGTAATCGGCAATATAATGCGAAGCAAACACTCGCTCGGCGATCATTTGCTGGAATCATCGTCGTGACGGTACACAGCGAGGTAAATCGTATAGCCGTATTTACGAACACCAGTAAGTCGAATGAGCTTTCTGAACATGTATAGATTTGAGCGATTGGGCTGTGATGCTCTTATTGCTAGATATGCTTTTTTATTAAATGCAGTAAGAACGCATTTTTTATCTGTTGATACTACAAACGCATTCTATAGCGGCAAGGGAGCGTAACCCATCAGACCAGAAGGCTAAAAGCGTTCGAGGCGTGTATTGGTGCCTTTCCTCGACCAGTGCACCTTTAAACACTATAGCGTCTTACAAAAACGAACAGATGGGGGGACACACATTTGTGGGGCTCTTCAAGGCTTTTTCCCTGGACATGGACTG